TTTTTTTTTTTTAATCAGTGTCCTTTGTTCTTTCGTTATTGGTGTATGTGTCTGTGTGTGCTCGATAAAAAGCGAATTGTTGTTTGTTGACCAAAGTACTTAACCAGAGCAAGCGAGTCAGTAAGCGAACGATTGTTTTCGGCAATTCATGCTAGTCACGCTCTAGCATAGCATATAGTAGAAAAATACGTGCAGAATAACAACCACTGGTTCAGTTTAAGGTCATTCATCGGAAGCGAAAGAGTAGCGGATATCTATCTGTGTGTGTATGTGTAAGAAAGAAAGTTCGCTATAATTACATGCATTATTATGACATTATGATTATGATGATTATTATTATATGCAATAAAAGCTTTCAGATAACGGCAAAATGCATCGTCCAGGTAAAACATACAAACCCAAAACTTGCTTGTAGGCACAAATGTCAACCAGTTGGAATACAAACACTTGAGGAGAAAGGCTAGAAGTATTGGCGCAGGTTTTGATAACGGTAAATACATTACAGACCACTCGATTCATCTGAGATCAACGCATACGAGCAAGCACACACGGTTACGATGATAGTTGCTTTTCTAATGGGAAATGCTTACAAGCTTTTGCTTTTCATGTCCCACAGGGGTTTCATACAAGAGCGACGGGAAATGTCACAAATTTTCCTGATCTCGTATACTGCTACGGATGTTGAAATTTACCACTTAACAAAGTTTCATCCAGTTTGTGCTTGGAAGAATCAATTAGGGAAGGTGGGGACGGAGGGAGGAAAACACAACGTGAGATGATAGCGAGTTCCAAACACTATACACACTCTGAAGGGGGAATGAATAACACCAGCGATCTAGCGGACAGCTTTGAAGCCCTAGTTTGACTGAGTGTTTCCTGAGGTGAGTTTCAGGCGATAAGCTGGACAGTGAACGACACAGGTGATCAGGGTTCTGCATTGTGTGTTGGATACAATTCCTTGGCCATCTTGGTGACCATTGTGAACGTCCCAAAATCTGACGACCTCGTTGTAGCCATGCCTTACGCGCGTGGACAATGGGCTCTATGTGGCTGATAGCAAGCGTGAGAACAGCATACGTTCAAATGTGTCATATACTCACTTTAGGAAACCAACATGTGTTACAGCGGTGGACAATGCTCCGGAACAGTTCATAGGACATCTTTGTTTGTTTTAAATNNAACTCCTTTTCATTCGAGGCATACCGAAGTGTTTGACGATATTCCAGGAAGTACGGAAACGTAGTTTTATGGTGAAAGGATACGACCACGTATTCTGACGCATTGAATTGGATGTCATTCGTGATCGACCACTGATAAGAACCACTAACGGTTCGTTGAACTGCGTGTTTCTTTTTTGCAAAAATTACCGTTTATGGACCCAACGACCGTCAGACCGTTTATGAAAACTAGACACAGTAGAGGACGGAGAACAGATCCATTTGGAAGTGATCGAGCTAGGCTGATCAGATGGTGACGCAGAAGCCCGACCTATCATGATGCGTTATCGAAGAAGAATGATTAAGACAGGCGATGAGTTTTGTCCTAGGATAAGTATGTTTCTTGTGATTGGCTCACAACCCACCACACATCACGGGCAATAGTTAAAAAAACATCCACAATGATTACTTAAACCTTTCATTGCATAACAAGAATGCCACCCGAAGCAGAAAATGAACTTGAACAGGTAAATCCGAAGACAAACGCTGCGAGAGGAATTCCTTTCCGATAACTCTCATCGGTCGCGTACGTATGACATCGAACAAGATGGACAAATGAAGCGAATTAAGAAATCTAGTTAGTATTAACCCTGTGTGTATGATTGTTTACAGTGTGTGTGATGCACGTGATTGGTATCAGGCCAAGGGTAAAGGTCATACATTTCTGGATGCACAGTGTGGGTTTATTGTGAGCTATCGATAATGCCTCGAATATCCTTAGTCGGTGTTTGCCTCGATGACGTAACAAAACCGAGAACGCGTTCGTAAGGTCTACCCTATGGCCGCTTTCAACCAAGTGACGTGCAATGGCCGAAGTCGGTCTGCGTGATGCGGTGAATGTGTGATGTGGGCTGAGTCATAGAGTCACGCACATACTTGGGGATGTGTTCAGCCATTCCATTTCGCAGTGATCGGTCGGTTCTACCCATGTATGCTTCGTTGCAGCTGCAACAGAAGGCGTAAATGCAATGAGAAGTAGACTCGACCAGACGACGATCTTTGAATGGGGGGAGGGGGAGGCGCCGTGTGATCGGATGGAGTCTTCATGCGGCAGCGTAGTAGTTCTTTGTAACGCCTTTTTGATACGCTGTGATAAGCTGCATTATTGACTCCCCTTTGTATGGCAACGAGATGTGGATATTCTTT